CAGCATCTCCTAAAACGCGCTCCTGCGATACTACCCAGCGACCAGATTTGGGCAGGAACTAGGACAGGGGTAGGGTTTAGGGCACTTCACAGAAGTTGGACTAGCCCTTGCAGCTAAACTCGTTTCGTCGGAACAAATTGCCGATTAGATTGTCCGGAAATCGAACCGGAATCGAACTCGGGCTTGCTTGGTGAAAGGTGGTGAAAGGCGAATGACTTTACTCTGAGCCACCGAGTAACGTTAATATTTGAGAAACTAAAAGGAATAATAGATGAAATTAAAAAATCGTGCTAATGAGATAAACCATGTCATCTCAATGACAAAATGAATTAAATTTTAAGCAATTAAGAAGCGAATTGTTAGTTTAATATTCTTTTTTCTGTAATGTAATCTTATAAAATCTTTCTAATAATAATATTTTTCTGTAATTAATCTAATAAAGGTTTATAGCGAATGGAAAAGCGTGATAAGTCAACGAAAGAACGATGATGTGTGGGAGTTGAGAAACACAAACGATTTACAGCACGAACTGTACCGAAAAAAAGACATACGAACGAATGTAATTTACATTATTGCAAGAGGGAACAGAGGGGAAAGTGGAGGTAGAAAGTGGCCATGTGAGACGGTTAGATGAATCGATTGAGGTCGCCTTGCGATACGGCCGCGCGCTATTAGATCCCATAAATATGTTTCTGTGAAAAGTTGCCCTTTCTAACTTGGCTATTGTTTCTTGATATAAACAATAGTCCAAATATTTTCTATAAAGAGACAATGCAGACTTAGAAAGCTATTGATTAAACAACTCACTGGGACAAAAATGAGAATTTCCAAACTTTTGTATGTGAGGATACGATAGCTGAAGTCTGCGTGGTGTAACCAAGGAAGGAAATATTCGTGATGAAAATTTGTCTTTCAAGTATGCTGGGTATTCTTCAAAAAAGGAAAAAGAAAAATTTACAGAGAAAGAGACATTCCATTTAAATCCGTACAAGGCCAAGGTTGGCGTAAATTTAAATTAATTAAAATATAATTAATTAGTATATGGCCATTTGATGATATGCAAATTAGTTAAGGTTTGCAGAGATACAATAACGCACGAAACGAATAAGTCCTGTATATTGTAAAGTGTGAACGTAAAATTTTTTTTGTACAATAATTCGTCATATTAAGTAAGAAAACTTTTGTTTCTCCAGTTTCATCCAAGTATGATGTTCTTGGAATGACGTTTGTTTAATTGCTAAACTATTGGTTAGCAATGTGATACACATTTTGTATTTACTGACTTTGTAAAGAAATGAAATAAAATGAATTTTAGAAGTTTCTCTTAAGAAATAGATGTTAAATTATTTACTTATCGTGTAAAGCAGTTTAAAACAGTGTGAGATACTATGGGAAGAAGTATTAGTATACTATAGTTCGTAAAAATCACTCGAAAATTAAATATGAGAATTTAATGCTTTGTAATAGAAAGGAAACCTAATACTGTGTTATTATTCTGCTACATGTGCAAAATAAATATGGAATCTCTTTGTAACACAATTTGAGAGATTTAGTCTACACATCAGCAGTTTTAAGAAACATTGTTCTTTTCTCCTTTTCTTCTTCCTCCTTTACTTCGTTTTCTTCTATTCTTTACTAGATCTTTCAATGTAGTTTTATCCCCCCTCATAAATGTCAGATGTGTTATTACAGTTTTTGACATGACTAAAAAAGGTATCGGCGCCCCCACTCGGGAACTGATACTTTCTTTTTCGTGGAAATTAAAAAATAATACATAATGATATGAGAGTTGAGATATTTTTGGGCATCTACCGATATGCTTTCCTGGGCGTTTTCTAAAGGAGATTTCTTCCATTTAGAAATAGTCTTATAGTCTTTAAGTTGTCACAGAATTCGATATCGTAATCCATCTTTTCAATAAAATGAGTTTTGGAAATCATTACATAAATATCATATATAATAATATAATATAGAGACAGTATATTTTTCTGTAATTGTGTCAATATCTTGAATGGAATCTCAAGAATGTTGGTCATAAAAGGGTCAGTAGCACCTATCCGTTCAAGAACCAGAAGACTGAGCTATTTAGGTCAGCCAAGAATAGAAGAGGTAGAAATTTATGGAGGAGGGGTGTGGTCGGTGCTTTGCAAAGGGTTTCTACCTCTAGTAGCCATGCAAGACCGCAACATTTCTTTATTTGGCAGGTGCGAGTACCCGAATATTCGCGGTATATGCTGCGTCAGAGGCCTACAAACTGCTTTGCGGGTAGGTCTGAGGGGAGGGTAGCGTCTTTGTAACGCATTGATTAGTTCCGTGTGCTCAAATGGTGAGTCGTCGGAAACTTTATGAAAATCGCCTATGTTTGGGGTTATGTTTACAGTTTTATTAATGCCAGGAAGTATCACGCGTAGAAGCATTTTCTTTTTTCGTCCTCTGTTGCGTCATAACCGCCACAGGGAACTTCAAGGATATTTCTGGACGGATCCAGGAGGATTAATTGATCCACTACTACGAGAATGTTAATGAGAGTAAGAACACTGCATAAAATTTATTCACGGTCACATGTAAAACCGTGTTTAAAAATATCTTCTAGGAATACAATTTAACTGCGATAAGAAGGAAGGAGAGTGTGGAATATTTCATCGTTTGGATATAACACTCAAATATGTTCGTCCGGACGAAAACAAGACTGTGAACTAATAAATAACGATGATACGGCGAAAAACCATTCGGGAACTCCTACTTTCGCACAATTGCGCGTGCGACTAGGTTTGCCTTGTGCAGAAAGAGGGGCGTAACCTACCTCCCGCCACTGTTTTCTCCTACAGGCTGGTATACAAGGAGGGTCCGAATTTTAAGGCTGTTAAAAATTTCTTTGCGGTTCCTTGGGTGGGTAGGCAAATGAGATTTTGTTCTTGTTAAATTCATAAAGTGATGTCTGAAGGTTCATACTTTTGATGATTACACACCAATTCAAATTGAGATATCTACACATTACAATTACGTGGATGAATTACAAAACAAATGCGAATATCGATGATTATTTGTTCTATCTATAGAAAAATGAAATACCCAAAAATTCAATTCAATGTACAAAATCACAAACAAAGCAAAAAATCAAAAGTATTTGGCACAAGAGGTTGCTGACGAAAAAAAGGCCTCTCCAATATTTTTAAGTGCATCCATTAGGTTAATTTTTTTGTACCGAAAACAACTGCTTTAGTAGAAAGTTCTATTACGATGATATGCTTATGCTTAATAACATAATATTGTTACGATATACGTTTAATGTAAAAGATAACATTGTGTTCATAAACAAATTTTCTCGTCCCTTATTAGTAAACTATTAATAGAATAGAAAAGGATCAAGATGCTTCCGAATTGACGAGTAGTTGAAAAAATTCCCCACAAGCCTGCATTTTCGTGTCAAACGAAGAAAACAAAAATTGCAATAATTACTCCCACTACTGCCCTAACCGCCGCCACGACCATCGTCTCCTTCCCTTCCGCCTTTTCTGTTTATTATAAAAGTTATGCAATTCAGCTGCGATAACTTGACATCTTTCAATCTACTGCGTGTACCGTGTAAACGTCAATATATCAATAAAAATATTTCCATGGCTTTAACTATAAAATTCCGGAGAGCTCCGTTCTCATTTGATTTGCGTCTCAAATTTTACGCGCCAGAAGCGCCTATGGTATTTGTATCAGAAGAAAGAACACAATTGACACTTCTCCAAAAACGCACCTCTGAACGCTTGAGAGCTCGCCAGCATCATATATTTGTCTCGGAATATTTTATTATTTACGGCTTCCACACGCCAGTCGTCTACATCAGACCTAGTAAGGTAGATGGCTGAATTTCAAGAGTGGGATCATTTCAGCGGAGCACTCTCCCTGTTGCGCGTGCTAATGCTAATAGAGGAAATCAATAAAATAACAATTGTACCTTTTTTAATCTGAAGCTCTCTAGTTTTTTCGTACCAAAGTCTCATGTAGGTTATATTAAGTCAATACATCAAAAACAGGTAAAAGGTATATGTAGTGTGTAAGGAAGAAAATCAATTTGATTACATTGAAACCAAATCATATAAATTTCATTAGTAATGCAAGCATTACTTCAAGCATTAGTAATGCAAGCAAACCTTATAAAAATGGACAAGCCAAGTTACATGATAAAAAAGGGACAAGCCAAGTAACATGATAAAAAGGGACAAACCAAGTTACACGATAAAAAGGGACAAGCCAAGTTACATGATAAAAAAGGGACAAGCCAAGTAACATGATAACAAAGGGAAATAAAGAATAACATTTCAACAATAGTTCTGATCCATTTGTTCCAACACCCCTATACAACGAAGAATGTTACTTTTAGATTTTAATTTTTAACGTATCTCTGCTTCATTTTTTTTAATTTTCCATACTATTTTTTAAACATTTTATTAAAAATTCATATAACAATATGGTTGAGGATGGAATTTATTTGAAATGGTCTGAAGAAAATTTAAAAGACTCGGACAGAAATTCACTGAACATTTTCTCGCCTCCCACCAAAGCTACTTATGGAGCAGAACTGTGAAATCGCAGGGTTCATTTTCTTTAGCGGGCGGTGCGTATTTGGGCGAGTCCTGGCTGGCACAAGGGTGCTCCAGAAATGTACATGCTTTGCTTGTCAACCCCGAACACACAGACTCGGGTCTCTTAACATCAGGCGCAAGCGAAACAATCAGATCCATTGAAGCCGTATCAGCATTCTTTTCACATTACACGTCAATTGAACCTAGATAGTGCCAGCCATGGCCTGTGCCTCCTCTATTGTCAGCATAATCATGATAATGACACACTGCGTTTGGGTAGTAGCAGCCATTGCCCTTAACACCTCTGTTGTCAGCATAATCATGATAATGACACCCTGCGTTTGGGTAGTAGCAGCCATGGCCCGTACCACCTCTGTTGTCAGCACAGACATGATAATGACACCTGCGCTTGCGGCCACTTACATTGTTGCGCGCGCACACGTCTGCGCCGAGGTCGATCATGCGGTCCAGGATGGAGGTGCGGTTGTCCCGCACGGCGTACATGAGCGGGGTCATCCCGTTTGCCTGCAACACAAAGAGGCAGTCAGCATGGGTTTTGTAGTGAGCTATGTTACTCACTCACAATGAAAACGATTTCTACATGACATGTTGTAATTATGCATATGGAATTGCGGGACACAGAAATGTTGCTACTTTAACATTAGTTCAATAGCATTTCGAATTGAATTGCATTTCTTTATTCAATTGTTTATTTAAAATGGAAAATTAGACTGAAACAGTTTCCCTTTCGTTCACAATTAATGTTACTACGAAAGTGATATTTGTATAAGCAGCAGAGACACTTGTTTTTACTTTCTTACCTTACTACGCAGTAAAGAGAAAGCGGCGGATATCGGCGATTTTACGACAGAAAAATCGTCGAAGCATTATAAAGGATAATAGATAGATCTTATTTCTTTATGTAGTAAATTAATTCATCGTACATTTTCAACAAAGTAAACAATTGTTTATATAAAACAGAACACTACAGTGAGACAGTTTCCATCTTTTACTATTAATGTATTTACGACTCAAATTTGAAATTGATATCGTTCTACTTATTTCTTTCATAAAATGAATATTCGCATCAGCAACAAAAAAATGTTTTAACTTTCTCGCCTTGTTATGTAAGTGCCCAGAGAAACTATTGTAATGAGGCGGCGCAAATTGGCAAGTCTGTGACAGAGGAACTCTCTTTGTCGAAACCTAGAAACACACAATTGGATAAATCATGTTCCTATATATTGTAAAATACTTCCGCTAACACGTGTATCCAGAATCAAAGTTTTGTGGGTCTTACATACCGAGATATCATCCGACAGCAAGAGTCTGTCGTCAATGCTAGCACCGGAAACGCTCACATGTTTTCTCCAAAACTGATATTTCACACTCGATCTAACGGAAATAGAGATCGCACGAGTTTTAAAGAAAAGTATTTTGATTCTGATGGTGTAATTAACCTCAAGCCTAAACATTTTCAAACTTTTTGATTAATCTTCGTCATCGGGTTGCATGACGCATAAAACTCGCGCAAATCTAATTTTCGTTGAAATCCCTGATGTTTGAAAATTGCAAAAGTTCAAACAACTTTCGGTGACTTCCTACAATTACAATATTGAAGACAGATTTTTTTCTGAAAGAAAATTTTTTTTCAAAAACAGTTTTTGAAACAAGGTCATGAAATAGGTCGTAATTTTTCGAAATTGAGTAGTTTTCGGGTAAGTGTGTGAGAAATGCAATATTTAAACATTTCCTAAAAAACAGCTCCAACACTTTTCGTTTTTCCCGTATGTAGCAAAGGAGAGGTCGAAATTTGTATTGGTCTCGTTTTCGTTTAACTTTCTGTATTTTCTATTTTTTAAATTATTATTAATCGACTCCAATTTTTCATTTGTTTTCCCACGGGTAGAGCAACGGAAGTTAGAAAATGGCGCAGCTTTCATTTTAGTAAAAACACTCAATTTTCGAAATTGGAAACGGAAACTCATTTTTCACGTAAGAAAGTGTTGTTGTAGGTGCATGAATTCCGTTCCTAATCGCCGTGGGCATATCCTGTCATTTGGCTCGACAGACCGGTACGGGTCTTGGCCAACCAGTGGTGACCCAGGCTCTCGACCTAGGAAAAGGATTTCTTATGGTTAGCAGGAAGACATCCTTCCACTGTATATACTGGTCTTCTTAACCTAAGGATGCGCTTTCTCGTCACACAGAAATAGATTCTGAGACATTTGTAAGGAAAACTGACAGTTATAACTTTGCTCCGATCGGGAATCGAACGTCGGGTTACGCCGTGGAATGCAAGCACGCTAACCAACGAGCCATCGAGGGCTTATCATTTATGTTTAAAAGAAAGAGAAGAGGGCCTAAGATCTAATCCTGGAAGACCCCATTGACAATTTACTTAACTGAATCGGAAAGATGAGTAAAATAATGACGCTTCATTCCAGTTAGTCAGACAGGGTTAACCAATCTTTCGTCATTGTGGCCCAAATTGTTTATATAGGTGGAGTTCAGAGGCTTGCTAAATTACTGACTAGAGTAGTTTCAATTTAAGCGGAATACTACGGATACTTTCTCTAGAAAGCTATTGCAGTAATAATTACAGTAACAACAACAACCATAATAATAATAATCATAATAATAATAATAATAATAATAATAATAATAATAATAATTCCCACACGAGTCCCGCCTCGGGAATGGTTATGCTTGTGCGTGTCTTTGTATGTTTGTGAATGTCCGTTTCACCATCATTTCTATATCTCTTCCCCTAGGCTTGGTAGGGAGAGGATTGAGAATACTTTGAGAAAAGCACAAGGAGAACTCCAAGATCAACTTACTCAAAATAAGAAAAGATAAGGTCCAAGTCCTCCAGAAGGCAATAGACCCTACAAGAAAGACAAGCAGGTGCAAGTTGTGAAGTTAGTCGTATGGAGGAGCACAACTCTAATGATGTTTGGTTGAAGTCTTCAGTACACAGGAAGTCGGTAAGAAAGAAGGAAAGTTGATCCAAAGAAGATAATCAAACACCCAAAGCGAGAAGTAGAAGACCCGTTAATCAAGACATCAAATTGACAGCTTACGAAGGACAGTCTTATACAGAAATATTTAAAAAAAATAAGGACTCGGTTGATCCGAAACAACATAATGCCAATATCCGGACAATCAGGATGGCATGCAAAAATTAAATCCTGATAGTCCTGGAGAAAGATTGTGATCCAACCTCTCTAAATGAAGCTATAACGCGTTGCTGTATGAGACAAGATGAACGTTAATACGTTTAACCCGAGTAGAATAGAATATTCAATGCGTACGGTAACAGGCAGGTTGCAACCGTAATGCTTCCTACGCGCCAAGCACAAGTTCTGCTTAAAGGAGAAAAAATCAGGATTGGATGTCCTGTTTGCTACATCAGAGTCAAACATCAACTCAGTAGATATTATAAACATCAACTCAGTGGATATATGACTTCCGTCATATATCCTCTTATTGCAAGGGCTCGGACAAAAACGGTACATGTTACAAATGTGGCAAAAAGGCTCACACGAACAAGGACTACAGAGATTCAGTACAATGTATTGTCTGCAAAGACAAAATTCTAGGACACAATCATATGCTTGGTGCAATAAATGCCCATCCTTCTCAGCGGAACTAAATAAACTCATAAAAACAAAGATTGCCTAGGTTTCTACACATTAAGTTAAGCGAAGGAAAGACATCTCAAAAACTGCTTATACAAACGTCGAGAGAAAGACACGATGTGTTATTGGTTAGTGAGCAGCACGATATTGACAAAATATTCCGTTACCGGGACTCGACGAGACCTGCAGGTATTAAATTACTTAATCCCAAACTGAAAATTAATAAACTTAAAAATACAAACCAAAGGTTTGTTTTGACAGATATGGACAATCTAAGAAAATACAGCTTCTATTTCTCAGCAAACGACTTTAATTGACAAATTAAGGAAATTAATACATGAACCGGAGACGAACTTAGCAACACGAGAAATAATCGTTGCCGGAGACTTTTACAGCAAGTCCCTGGAATGGGGGGAAAGCAGTCTGATCATCGAGGTGATATTGTCTGCGAATTCATGGCAAGGATAGATCTGGTGGTTTTAAATTCAGGGAGCTCATGTACCACTCAGAGAGGTGCAGTATCTTCCGTATTAGATATAACAATAGGAACCTCAAAGAAAGGCAGGAATATTCAATACTGGCAAGTTCTTGATGAAGAGACACTTAGCAATCATCGCTATATAGAATTTTCCACTTCACCCCTTGGAAACAGAACTGGAAGACAGAAACAGCGACACGCCGGATTATCATGCAGTGTCGAAAAACTAAACGAAGAAAAGGCCATAATATTCCTTGATGAAGTAAATCTGTTACAGAATATTGGGTGGGGAAGAAAGCAGAGTCCCTCAAAGAGGTACAAAAGAAAATTGTTAAAAATTCGTGTAAGGTCTCAAAGCCGAGATACAGAGGCCCAGGAGGGAAAACCATGTGTGCCGGTGGACTGCACATATTGCGGAACTTCGCAAAGCATGTATTAAAGCTCGTAGACTTGCAACAAGAGCAAAAAAGGACATACAACTAAGGGAAAACTATAGGAGGTATCGTAAAGGTCTTAAGTCGGAAATTAAAAGAAGTAAACCAAATGCTGGAAGGACATAGTAAATGACCACTGGAAAAAAGATTTTACATATTTCATATTATGCTTTTTAATTATATTGACCCACACAGAAAACAGCTAGAGCAAAATTCTTCAAATTTTTAAACTTCTTATTTGGCAGTGTCTTATAAAATTTTGAGAGATTTACGTCTTGTAATAAGTCTTTGTACATTTCATTCGGAGAAAGTCTATCATTTACTAGTGAAACTAAGGAAACTAGGGAAACTAAACTTCAACTTCACAATTGAAAGGGTTTTGAAACAATTTGAAGTTTCCTGAAATATTTTTATAAATTTCTGCTTTAAATTTCTAAATATTTCTATATAAAAGAAGTCGAATAGGACGTGAAGGATTCTTTTTGGTGTCGAGAAATTGAAGACAGATGAGTGAATCTGTCAGTATACTTTCACGTAAAGAAATAATTTTGGTTTGAATAATTTCATATATGCATAAAAATTAGTCGCAAATCAGTTGTTTCCCTTCAGAATCAAATTATGGAAATTAATGCGCAATCATATCTAAAAGGAAAGTTCCTTCCATTACCACAGATTCTCATAAAGAAATCACAAGGGAGGTTTCAATACTGTAAAAAAATAATCAATTTTCTCAAGAAGTTCGAAAAAGAAATTCCATTTCATTGAAATAAACTATGTTTATAGTGGAAAGAAAATAACTTCTGATATTGGCAATATCAGAAGTCCTTAAAATGCGACGGATGATATTACAGTACAGTAAATCGGGGACAGGCGTCCCAGATTTATGTCGTACTACGCTAACGACGGACTCCCATTTTTACGTCTGACGTATATTTACGTCAGACGTCCCAGATTTATGTCGCACCTGCGCTA